AGGAGGTTCTTTCTCACAGGTTCTTCTTGATGTACACATTCAAAGTGGGGCAAGTTCAGGGCAATTCAAGGTCAATGGATCTACATAATCAGAGCTGAGTTCAAGATGGTAGGTTTGGGGAAAATAATATAAAGAAAGGCCGCACTGGCCAGATTGGAGAAAGTTCTGGAGTGTGGGAGGAGCATGGGAAGCAGCTACCTTATGTGGGAGATTATCAAGAAAGTGAGAAAGCAGAAGAGAGCTTTGCTGGTGGCTGAAGAATGTTACCCTCTTTGGGTGTTTCCTTGAGAGACTACAAGGAAGATAATAATGGCTTTCCACTAGTTTTTGGTTGTCTGACTACCAATCTTTGGCCACAGCTCCCTACTAAGATTGAGCCACATGGTACAGGCTGAAAGCTCACCACCAAATATCTATTCTTCCTTTTTTTATTACTTCCCAGAATAAAGACCCATTTCTTAGGCTGACTTCATCTAAGTGAGCCCCAGGGACTAAGTTACAGCCAACGAAGACTAAGAAGTGTTGTATTGTTCCTGGAAAGTGGCATACAGGATGTCCTTCCACCTTTCCTTCGGCCTGGTGCCTGGAATGAGGCCAGCAGCTAGCTTGCACTAAGAGGTGGCATTGAGGAGGAAAGTTATTGCTGGATGGTGAAGCAGAAAGAGAGAACAAGCCAGGATCAGCGATGAACATGAAGCTATCCTACTAAACGTGGAATGACTACGTCCATGCTTCTTTGCAGTGAGAAAGACGTAAACATCTTTCCTGACCAAGCCACTGTTATTGTGTGTTTCAATCTACTCAGCTGAAACTATTTATAACCCATGCCGGCTACAAAGCAACTAGCGTTGCTTTGGGCAGATCCATAGAAACAGAAAGTAGATTACTAGTTTATGGAGTTTGGGGAAAGGATGAATATGGAGGTTTTCTGTTTTTGTTTTTGTTTTGGGAGGTGAGGGGATGATGGACATGTTCCAGAATTAGGGATTGGTGATAGCTGCACAACCCTGTCAATATATTAAAAACTACTCAATTTTGTACTGTAAAAGAGTGAATTTTGGGAGTTCCCTGGTGGCCTCGTGGTTAGGATTCCGGGCTTTCACTGCCATGGCCTGGGTTCAATCCCTGGTTGTGGAACTGAGATCCTGCAAGCCACGCGGCACAGCCAAAAAAAAAAAAAGTGTATTTTATAGCATGTGAATTATATCTCAGTTTTTTAAACGAAACACATAGAAATGTGTCCAAATTATTACTTTGTATCAACCCTCTCTAAATGGTGAAATTAATGCCTAATTTAGTAAGAGTGCCCCCCCAACCCCACAAAAGACATGTCCACCCAGAACCTCGGAATGTAGTCTTACTTGCAATTTGCAGGTGTAATTAAGATAGGAAGCTTGGGGCTTCCATTGTGGTGCAGTGGTTAAGAATCTTCCTGCCAATGCAGGCGACATGGGTTCGAGCCCTGGTCCAGGAAGATCCCACGTGCCGCGGAGAAACTAAGCCCGTGAGCCACAACTACGGAGCCTGCGCTCTAGAGCCCACGAGCCATAGCTACTGAGCCCGCAAGCCACAACTACTGAAGCCCGTGTGCCTAAAGCCCATGCTCCACAACAAGAGAAGCCACCACAATGAGAAGCCCACGCACCGCAACCAAGAATAGCCCCCACTCGCCGCAACTAGAGAAAACCCGCGCACAGCAACGAAGACCCAACGCAGCCAAAAATAAATTAATTAATTAAGTAAATTTTTTAAAAAAAGATAAGAAGCTCAAGGTGAGATCATCCTGGATTAGGGTGGGCCCCAGATCCAATAATGAGTATTCATATAAGATACAGAAAAGGAGAGACATACAGAAGGAAAGGTGACATCAAAATGGAGACAGAGATCAGAATTATGCAGCGGTATGCCAAGGATTGTAGGCAGCAACCGGAAGCCAGGAGAAAGGCATGGAATGGTTCCCCTCAGATGCTCCAAAAAGAACCAACCCTAGCAACACCTTGATTTCAGACTTCTGGACTCCAGAATTGTGAGAGAATAAATTTCTGTTGTGTTAAGCCACTCTATTCGTGGTACTTGGTTACAGCGGTCCTAGGAAACTAACACAAGAAGGCCATTTTTGCTAACGTCAGAAATACTGCTTTATGGATAGTAAAATTAACACAGGGACAAGCATAGGTGATGTACAAAGATGGAGAATTGATACCATCAGTCTGTCTTGAATACGAATATGTCTCAAGTAAAACAATAAAAAGCTGTTTTGTAGTTGAAATCTTATGAATTCACGAAGTTAGCATTTACTGTATTAGTTAGCATTGGTGTCATTTACTGTATTAGTGAGTTATAGAGATCTCTGTTCCTTACTGGCAGGCAGCCTTTGCACTCTACTTAAATGTTTAGGGGCTGAGTGATTGCTGAGTCAGTCAAATCCAGTCTCTTCTATACCTTACCTGTAGAAATATGTGCATCTCTTTATGCAAAATAAAACAACAAATTAAACACACAAGCCAACTTTATTTACTTTCCTGTCTCTCCTTCCCTTTTCATCCAAGTATTCCAGAAGACTGGGCCGCCATCTTTGTTTCTACTTCTCTGTCATTTCTCAGCCTACTGAAACTTGGCTTTTTGTCAGAGCCTTCACTCACTACCACCATGATCTGCTATTATACACGCTCAAGCCTTAGATGTCCCAAGGCCAAGTGTAGCAAACAGTCATTCGGTCTTCACCTCACGGCTGCCCTTGATGCTGCTGGTCACAGCCTTATTCTGGAGTCCCTTTGCTCTCCTCATATCTCTGTTTCTTTTTAGTCTCTTTCCTGACAATTTCACTCATCTTCTTGAAATTCCCCAGTGGCTCCCCAGGACCCAGATGAAAAGTCCAAGCATCCTAGCGTGACACACGAGGCCCTGTGTGAGCTGGCCCTGTCCCCTGTCCGCTGCCCAGTTTCTTCTCCCAGTGCTCCAAATCCCGGAAATTATCACGGTGTTAGCAGCAGCCAATCAGCGTTTCTATTCACCTGCTTCCTGCATTTAATTATCACTCATTTTCATTCTCTTCTCCAATCTGTCTATAGTTGTTATTCCCATTCTACCTCCACAATGTTTACCTGTCCACATGTCACCTATATGATCCATTTTCTTCTTTAACTTAGCCACCTTTTTAACTTAAAGGAATTTAATGATTTTAAAGGGAATTTTATATGATTTCAACAGAATGTGCCACAAATGGGAGATAACAATAAAACGAACACTGTATTAACAATAAAATAAAACGGTATTAGTAGGTACTATCGCTGGTACTCAGCACTGAGCATAAGGCTTATTCTTTGTTTAAAATATATACCAGCAAGTGTTCTAGGACATAATAACCTCTAAGATCGTCTCCTTCATGGTGAAAGAATTGAAAGAAAAACTAAAGGGAACCCATTTTTTACTTCAGGATTGAACATCATATAATACCCCATCCTGTATCTCCTAGAAGCATTCTGTATACAGAATGCTTCTGCTCTCTTCCCGCTTCCGCTCTCTTCCCGCTTCCGCTCTCTTCCCGCTTCCGCTCTCCTCCCGCTTCCGCTCTCTTCCCGCTTCCGCTCTCTGCTACACGAAGTGTGGGCTCCTCTCACCCCAGCACCACTTCTAGTTCACAGGGTTGTCTTGGCCCAGGCCTCCTACGGCTACTCTCACTACACTTAGCCGGGATCATGGCTTAGCGCATCTGCCTGGGAACCTGCGATGGCGAGTCGCTGTGTCCCTCACTTGAGCAGGCCACCGCCACCTGCTCCCACAGTGTGCTCTCCTGAGCGCATCTTTAGCTACCTTCCGTATCCCCCAAGAGCGCAAATGGAACTTCAGGCTCCAGGGCATGGGTGCGATCTAGGCCCCCTGCGCCTGCACCTCCTGGAGCCCCTGCCAGCCAGGGAGGGAGCAACTGCGTGCTGACATCAGGGCACATCAGTGCTCCCTGACCCACCAGACACATACCCCAAAGGTCAGTCTCAAGGTATGAGAGGGGTGTCCAGGATACTTACTTCTGATATTTTCTCCCCACCCAGGCACCCTATCAGATGCTTTCCCTAGCCTCCTCCTTCCTTTACATTCAAGTATGTCCACTCCCCTGGGTGGAGTCTGCCCTCCTCTTCTCTAGGGAAATAAGCCTTTACCTAGTGGCCTCCTCCTGATGCCAAAAGGGCTTCAGGGGGAAAAAAGCTAATGACTCAGAAGGGAGAATAGAGTGGGAAATATGCCCTAAAATATTGTCCTGCTATACAGATTCAAGTGCTGGCTTCATTCCAGATTCCTTTTCCCAACTGGTCTGTGTCCAGATTCAGAAACATTCCAAAAGTCCATTTCAGAGCCCGTGTCTGCAAAGAGCAAGGACATCATCGTTGCCCGCTTTCACGACACGGGTATCTGCCAGGGGTGACATGCGTACATGAAGTTATGTATTATGGCCAGCGGCACACATATGTGATATTTAAATATTTTTATTAAATCCCAAGTTCTAATTTCGTTCTTCTCTGTATTCATTAGAAGCCGAACGCCTCGAATCCAGGAATCACATCACCCCAACCTGTCTGCCCTCTTCACCATTTGGTGTGACACATCGCACAGCACAACCCACACCTGTCTTCTCAGCGAACACTTCTGTTCATTTTCTCATTTTCTCTAAGCAAATTCCTATGTGAAAAATCCCTACATGATCCCTACCATGATAGTCACCCACACTTTGAAGAAATGTTTTTATTTTCTGTACATCACATCACCCCTTTTTGACTGACTTTTCACCCAGCAACTATGGCTTCACTTCAAATATTGAAGAGACACGAAATTGATCGGCTCTGCTGATCTGTGGAATATTTGCATTTTTCTCACAACTCTAGAAAATCAGAGGAAATTTTCAGCTTTTTTTTTTCTGGTGTGTCCCTTTTAAGGCTGTCACGCTTTTGCATAAACTTTTATGGAAACACATAGACAGTGACAAGGAAATGCAGCTGAGCACTTGCCTTAAGCTCATTGGTGTCAGCCAGTTTGGCTTTGAGCTCAGTGTTCGATTCTCGACACACACTCAGCTCCTTCTGCAGCCTCTCCACCTTCTTCTGCAACTTCCTGATGGTGACATTGCCCTCGTCCCTCTCCACAGCCGATGCCGAATGCACCTGCTTCTCCTCCTCCAGCTGGGCTATTTTTTGCCGGAGGAGGTTCATGTGCAGCTCTTTGCTCTCCAGTCTTTCTTTCTGAGTCTTTAGCTGGTTTAATACAAACAGGGATTTTTTTTTAAAAAATCATTGAATAGTCAGTAAATATAAATGAATTACTCAGATAATGTTGATCTTTATCTACACTTCAATAAGACTAATTTGTAAACCATCAGATTTTCCTGATTGCATTTTTCTATCCCTATTTTTCCAAGAATTAATTTGGTAGCTGCAAAGTATGAGACAAAAAGAGCCACAGAAAATGCACAAGGGAGCAGGCTTTCAATGTCTGATTCCCTCCAACATTATGTGCATCATAATAAAAATGTAAAATTACTTTTAAAACTACTAAAATGGGCTTATCAAGAGCAGAACATAATAAGACAGACAAAATCCTCTCCAACACCCCACAGCAACTGTACTTCTACTGGTCTTTTCTGAAAGAAGACAAAGTGTAAATTAGTACCGAAAACCCAGTGTGACTAGTTTCAATCACTTAGAACCAGGTTGAGTGGCACCAAACATGGGAGTTGATATATTTTTAAAGTAAGCTATATGAAGGAGATTTTGAGGAAAGCTTTGTTTATATATTGAAAATCTTAGAAATAGAAGGGACTTCAAGAAGGCATTGCTTCATTAGTGTCTTTACTATACGCCAGACCTTATACCATCCACAAACCAGGCTGAAGAGGGTCTGCAAATAGCACTTAGCATCGACGGTCAAACTTGATGAAAGAAATCGTAATGGTTTTTAGAAAAAGATTATGGACTCTATGAGGAGAAAAAAAATCCTCCTGGGCTTCATATGTCACAATTAGTGAGTAGAATATTAAGTACAGGAACCTCTTTCATCTCTTACGAACACTGGGAATTGGAATCGTGTAGAATTATAGAATGTTAGAGCTAAAGACCATCCCATTTTCCCTAATTATATATTCTGCATTAGTAAAGTGTTTGAAGGTGTGAAGGGCTTACTGAAATGAGGGCTTAAATATCTTGTCTAACAGTGACAGCAATGTCCATGCCCACATCCTTTTTTAACAAGGCGCTTTTAGTATTTCTCTAACTAAACTCCCTTTCCTGAGCTTCTTCATGTCAAATTTCATTCTACTGCAAATTTACCAGGGTAAGTTCTGTACACTAGTCATTTTAATAATTATATAATACTTAAGAAGGAATAATATTGGGTATTGAGGAAAAATCAATTATCTAGAACTTCAGAAAGAATTGTAGCTCAGTTTAATGTCTCTGATGGTACTAGGGGTTGTCTGCTTTCTTTTATAAAATATTCCTTAAGATACAGTAAATGGAGAAGAGGTCAAATATGAATACAGCATTTTCTATGAACCAAGAGTGCAAAAATGCTATTTATTAACAACTTCATGAGGTAGGTATCATTCCCATCTTAAATACGAGGAAACACAGACAGAGAAGTATATAATTTGCCCAATGTCACACAGCTTGGTTGAACCAAACTGAGAACCCAGATGTGACTCATTAAGCAGCCTATACACGATAATTCTACCATAGAATTTTCTCCTAAGAACTATTCTAAGGACACATCTGTATTTTCCCCTTTCTTTCCCCAATGCCAATAATTACATAATAATTATGTTTTTATGTTTCATCCATTCATTTATGTAGTCTAAACTGTTTCTAAGTCTTCCTTTGAGTGAGTGGAAAGTAAACTCTTCTCCTGTCTACTTTCTAGTGCAAGAGAGCTTATATAAAGGTGAGACTGCTGGATGTTGCCCAGCTCTCCTCTTCTCCCATAGTCATAGAAACAGTGACTTTTTCAGCTAGACAAATGGCTACCCAGAGTAAAGGCTACAGTTCCCAGCCTCCCTTGCAGCTAAGTTTAGCCATCAGAACACATTCTAGCTGTGGGATAGAAACACAAGTTCACATAGAAAACTCTGGGAGCCTCCTCTAAAAGACAGCTCATGCATGTTCTTTTGCATCCCTCTTCTTCATCCCTTTCTTTTTTAACCTTCTGCCCGGAACACAGATATAATGGTTCTAGGCACCACTGTGAACCATGACAATAAGGACCCTGCTAGGGATGGGCAATTACTGAGCTGAAAGGAGCCTGGGTCCTTGGAAACTTTACAGAGTAGAGCTGCCAACTCACTCTGAGCTGCTTGACTCCAGAAATGGATGTGAGGGAAAAAAATACCCAAAACACCCACTTCTACTTGGTTAAGCTATTCACAGTCAAACATAACCTTAGATGATACACTTACTTTCCCTTCAGACCTGAAATAGAGACTCAGCTTCTAAATACATATTTGTATAATATGTTTCCTAGCCACACTGGCAAATATGGTGGGAATAAATTATTTTTCGAGATTTAAGTTTCTCAGAATTTCCCTCTCTCAACACCAGCAATATCCCCTACCTTTCCCTGTAAACTGTAGGCGACCGTCTTGTTTTCAATGACTGTGCTGCTCTCGAGGCAGACCAGCTGCTCTGTGCGAGCTAAAGCTACATCCAGACACGTGTCGAAGCCAAGTTCAGCAGCCATCTGGTCCAACTTCATCTTCTCTGAAAGCTGATCCAGAAATTTAAGATACTAAGCCCAAGAACAAAAATGAAAATGGGACACAAAAGTAGAGTTAACAGGTGATCTCACAGAATCCTTGTGTTTCTCCCAAGCTTACAGGTAGTTCTCATTAACTCCAGTACAGAGCCCAGCCCCTGACTCCAGTGCTTGGTGATGAATTCTTGAACCACCTTGCCCGCTCCATGTTCTGTTCCTTGTCCAAATTCTCTTGACTCTCCTGTTCAGGGGCCTTGATGTTCAGTCTAACATTATACACTCTTCTTAACCCTGCCACCTGACAAATGTGGCACGCTCCTGACTGCATCTGAATCTCTCTGCTTTGGGTACATGCTGCTGCTACCATGACCCTCGCAGCTCCTGGGATCTACTGGCTAATCCAGCCCCTGTGATCCACTCATCCACGTACCTTCCATGGAAATTTTGTCCACCTAAGTGGGTCCTGGCCTCCAAGGTGGAAATTGACCAATTAGCTGGTTGCCATTTTACACTTCTTGGTTTCTACAAATCACACTGAAACCAGAGCTCTCCATACAAACAAACTTGGGCAACATTTTTGTTTTCGTAAGTTAAAATTCTTTAGAAAATGTCTTTAGGGCTTCCCTGGTGGTGCAGTGGTTGAGAGTCCACCTGCCGATGCAGGGGACACGGGTTCGTGCCCCGGTCCGGGAGGATCCCACATGCCGTGGAGCGGCTGGGCCCGTGAGCCGTGGCCACTGAGCCTGCGCGTCCGGAGCCTGTGCTCCACAATGGGAGAGGCCACAGCAGTGAAAGGCCCGCATACCGCAAAAAAAAAAAAAAAGGTCTTTAAAAGTTTTTAATGTATCAAAGTTAAAGGAACAACATTCTAAAATTGAGCTGTATCAGGGAATTGAGCTGTAACAGGTTAAAGTTACAAAACTACCCTAGGATCCTCCTCCCGTTGATTTCTGTGGCTTATCTCATCATGCCAGATATTAATCCTTACTAAGTGCTTGATGGATAAATAAATCCATCAATGAGCTTTCTATAACATAATTTCATGATCTGGGTTCTATCTTTGAAAGATCCTTCTCATTGCAATAACTCATCCATCTGGCATTTTTAGGCAATTATATGTTTAAACAAGTATAAAGTATCATTTCCTGATGACTAAAGCATGCCAGCTTAAAGCACAGAGCTATCTATATTTCAGTCATCAGAATGAAATTATTTGTAAGTGTATATTTTCCAATTTTGTTGAAAAGCATACGTAAAACTTCATCTCTCCTGTAAGTCACAGCCGTTACAGACACTGCTGCTGTATTGTGTGACAGGACCACCACAGGCTGTTTTTGTCTCTGAATCATCAGTTTGTCACTTCTTTTTTTGGCTGTCTTGGGTCTTCGTTGCAGCGTGTGAGCTTCTCATTGCGGTGGCTTCTCTTGTTGCAGAGCACGGGCTCTAGGCATGCGGGCTTCAGTAGTTGTGGCTCGCAGGCTTCAGTAGTTGTGGCTCGGGGGGCTCTAGAGCACAGGCTCAGTAGTTGTGGCACACAGGCCTCGTTGCTCTGCAGCACGTGGGATCTTCCCTAACCAGGGCTTGAACCTGTGTCCCCTGCATTGGCAGGCGGATTCTTAACCACCGCGCCACCAGGGAAGCCCCGGTTTGTCACTTCTTAACGTTGGGTCAGCCCCCCTCACGGACTATTTCATTTCTAATCTATGCAGATGAAAGTGAAATAACTGCTACTGTTTGTATTTAAAATAAAATAGAGTTGGTACCTTTCATGCGAAGGTATAAAAGCCTCTCTTTCTATTTCTACATATGACCCATCCATTCAGCATTCAAGGATCTACAGCAGGCCAAAGGGGATTAAGGCAGGACTGAGCCAAGACCCCACAGAGAAAGTGCCTTTTCAAGGACCTTGGCTAAGCCTCAGAAAGTTAAGGTTGCTGACAGGATTCCTGTACATTTTGTTCATTTGAATCACAGTTTAGCATGAATATATTCTATGTCGTATAAACCTCAATTACCTGTATTTAAATTTAATCTCTATACACCTTTGCTTTTCAATCTTACATGCCTACTATTTAAATTTACCTCAATTACCTGTATTTAAATTTAATCGCTATACACTTTTGCTTTTCAATCTTACAAACCTACTAGCCTTACTAGGCAGTAAGGCTACTATTACTATTTTATAGGCAGTTATCTATGAAAGATTCACCATGGGCAGAGTCAGTTTACACAACTTGATTGCATAACTGAAAGCTGTTCTGGCATAATCTCAATTAAAATTAATGAGTCATCCTAGTGAAGGCGGGAAGAGACAACGATCTACCTAAAAGTCTTGCCTTTGATATGCTTCTTCTATTATTTAAATAATATTTATTGATTCTTGCTCTAAGCCCTGGAAAAATCCAGAAAAAATGATTTCCCCGGGCCTCAAGAAGTTCTGAGTTGACTGGAAAAGACAAATTAAGACATGGATACAAAAAGGGTGATTAGTGCCGTGACAGAGCCAGGTACGTGTTACGTGAAGAACTAAGCCTCTGAGGAAAGGCTTCCAGAGGAAGTGGCATTGGAGCTGAGTCTTGAAGGGATAGTTATTTCTAGAAGAAGGTGAGGAGAACATTTTCTCAGAGAGACCAGCAATGTGCAATATGGATTGCCTCTAGACTCTCAGAGCCACTCTGCCTGCAGAAAAACCTTTCTTTTAGTCAGAACCCTCCCGTGGCTTTCCATTGCCCACAGGATAAAGCCTCGCGTAGTCAGCCTGCCCCACCTCAGTTATTCCTGCCACCTCGAGAGCTGCCTCCTGCCTCTGCCTCAGCAAGCATCACGTTCCAGTCTCCCTGTCACCCTCTATTTCTTCATCCTTCCTGCTGTCCCCTCTGCCTCAAATTCCTTCCCCACCCCTTCTGCCTGCCAAGTTCCTACTCATTCTTTCAGGCCCCTCTCACATGTGACCACTTGGGTGAATATGGCTCATTTCCTCACACACAGAAATAGGGAAGAAGTAATTACTCCTTTGTCTGAATTCCTGTCGCATTGTACACCTATCTCGATTGTAGCACTAACTGTACTAATTGTGCCCTGATTTGCCCATCTCATCCATGACACTAGGATTTCTCACAGACACCTCTTAGGCACCTTTGCATATCCAACCCTGAACACAGGCATGATGCGTCCTCAACTTTTTTAAGTACAGAGGATGAAAATGAATGAGTGTCCAGAGTACAGATTTTTCAACTGAAGAGTATTTTTCATGCCAAACTCTGCCCCTATGCTCTTGAGCCCATTTGTCTCTTTTTCTTCCCCTACAGATGCCCGTGACAAGGTACAAACATGTACCTTGCCATTCTGTCCGATAAAACCTTGCTCTGATCCTGTTTTTCATAGCTTTGGCTTCATGCCTCTTTTCTCGTTGGTCACCAGCCTTGGTAGTCGTCTAAGTCTCTAGCCCTTCTCTTCCTAGTCACCCCTCCTGTTCTCCACCGCTCTACTAAAACTGCGACTCAGATGTCACCAATGGTCTTCCCAGGGTCAAATCTTAAGCTTAGACCCCATCTCTTCTCACTCTACTTTCCTTGTCGCCGTTATCGTTTCTGAGTCTCTCCACACTGCAATCCCAGTTCCACAGTGATGAGATCTTTCTAAAATACTGTGATGTTCAGAAGTCACTTATTACACGTCATAGTCTACAGAATAAAGAGAACCCAATCTTCATAACCCAAGCCATTCCAATCTGCTCGCCTGTCAGAGCCTCGCCAAGAATGCCACGTTCCAGCCACATGGCAACAGCTACTCTGCGCTCTCTGAATATACCATGCACTTGCAACTTTCATGCTTTTGTTCAAACTGTTTCCCCGACAGTATCTGCTCTTTCTCTCCACTAAAATCCTACTTATCCTTCAAAGATGAACTCGATTATCTCCTCCACTGTAAAATCCTCCCCTCATCCAGAATTTATCACTCCCTTCACTGGACTCCTAGAGCACTCTGTTGATCAATACATCTATTATAACACTTATAGCCTTATAGTACAGCAAATTATTTGAATGTCTGTCTCCTCTATTGAATCATGAGGTTTTATGGTCAAGAACTGCGTGTTATACCTTAACCCCCAAACCTTCAGAGTCTCATATATAACAGACGTTCAATAAATACCTGTTGAATTTAATTAACTTGAATCAAGGAAGCTCCAAACAATAGCAAGGAACACCAAAACAACATCCACTGTTCCTTGAAATTTACTCAGAACTCAGAACTTAACCAATCTACCAAAGTATTGCAAAATTCAAAATATTTCCAGGTGAAATTTTATACTGCAGCAGATGTTCCCACCCACAGACATGCCCTCAGGTTATTACTTTTTGCTTCTCGAAATTCAAGTTGTCTCGCAAAATGTCTCCAGAGACCAGCTCTCCCTCCAGGTGTGTCAGCTGACCCTGAAGAGTCTCCAACTTGTTTTCTGCTTTCTGGGCTCTCTGTAGAGCTCTCTGGTGAAACCCAGACTCATTTCCCAACTGTTCAACAAGCTCAGATATTTGGGCTTCAAGCTGGGAGACCATCTGGAAACAAAGAAACAGAACAAGGATAAGCCTTGTTTCAGATGCAACAAAGTATTAAAATCTACTGCTTAGCGGAAGGGACAAAACTATTTATAACACCAGCTTCCAGATTCTTTGCAACAATTAACTTAAAAAAATAGGTAATGGATAGCTGTATTTGCCTCTGCTTGAAATAAATCTACATTCGTTAGCTAATAAAATATTTTACTGGTGTTTTTAATTTCTATATAATTCCTTAAACAGGTTCCTCGAGAAGTATTTAGGGAAAACACTTACTCCTAAAACTACTATTAATTTAGGAGTTTCAAAGCTTAGTTGGAAAAAGAATTCAGACAGAAAGTACTTTGAAAACTTTTGAGTTTTCAAAGTACTTTGAGTTTTCCAGAGAAACTCTTTCACCACATATACCAGATTAAGATTATACAATGAGGTAATCTTGATAGGTAACCTTGAGACATTATCAGGAATTCAAGTGCAGAAAGATATTTTTTCAAGCTTTTTTTAGAACTTTCTATTGCATATTGGTTACTCATGCACTGAAGTGCAGTGGTACTGCGTCTGTGCTGAATAGTTTTGGAGTAATGTCATCGTTTCAGCATTTGAAAGGGCAAAATTCCACTAATATAATGACTCTAAATACGGTCAATAGCAGAGTATAAGAAGGCTAGGAAATCTGATCACCACCTCCTCTTCCAAAGCATAAAATCACTATTTCTCCATTAAAGGACCCAAAACTCTACACAACCCCCTACCTTGCCCAATGCTTCCATCCTTTCCTGGAGTTTCCCTCTCTGTCCTGACCTTCCCTTAAACCAAGAACTTAAATTTACCAAACACCTCAAGTACACTTTGAGATTACTCTAATTGATTCTGCCAAATCCAATTTTCAGAAAATGCTGAATTTAATAAAAACACCAAGTTTGAGGTGATAAATTTGTTTGGCTTTGATGGTTTATTTTGGAAGAAGAAAGGGGAAAAGTAGTAGATACTTACATAATACTCAGTACCATTCTCACAGAAATTAATATATCTTGACGGTCTCAGGCTTACAGTCTCAGGTTTAAAAAAAAAAATTCCTGTTTGCCTATCTACAAACAACCAAATTTAAAGGCAAGAAGACATTCAAGCTGTCTTCAACTATTTTAAAAAGCGACTATATAGAAGAATAGTAGAATTTGTTCTGAGTTGCCCTCAGAGCTCAAGTTGAGGACCAAAAGGTATAAATCAAAGAATCTTACTCTAAGGTAAAGAATTTCCCCCAGCCCCAATAATTTCAAAGTGATACATACTCACTGTATAAGAAGATTCATTACGGACAAAAACAGAAGTGTAAATAAGCAAAACTAATTCCCATGATCCCACCACCCAGAGGCAACAACTATTAATAATTTTTAATAATTTATTTGTATGTATTGCTAAAATATAGTTGAGATATTATATATGCAATTCTGTGGGTTTGTTTTTACCTCATATTTTAAGCATCTTCACATGTCAGGCAGTGGAGTTCCCAGTCACTGGAAAAGGCTAGAATTTGACCAATCATTTGTTAAGAATGTTATGGGGGGCTGAAGTGCTATAATCAGGAAGGTTAAATTACTTAATCTCTGAACTCTCTAATTTTGTCCTTCTAAGGCTCTCAAGGTCCGAGGCCTATAATTCAATTAATTCTATACTCCTTTGGGTGTTTGAAATCAGCTACTTGATGGCAAGCTGCTCAGCATCATATCCAAGGAATTCCATTTCCAAAGGAAATTTATAATTTCATTATAGACTATGAGGCTTTAAGAGCCCTCATTTCATGTTTCCTACCTTTAGTGCAATAGTAGGTCTGACCTTAATGCAAGAAATGCATTAAGTACCATATACAAAGTAACCTACAGAACAAGGGCTATCAAACAACGTCCTCAAGATACTGGCTCCTAAGGGGCTGTCTAATGATACTATGTTGTACAAGGGATGATACGTTTCTGTGCAACTGAAAATGTGCTTTCACATTGGACTCCCAGTAGAAAGTAAGTCTTTCCACCTGAAGATCCTTCCACAGTTCTCCTATCTCACAGTTGACCTGGCAAAGAGAATGAAACCAAAGAGCTAACAGATGCAGAAAATCTCAGCTGGAGAGATGGAAAACTGTGTGATCACTTAGCCACAGTCAACACGCTGCAGAGCTTACCAGAGGAGAGCAAAGTCTTCAATGGAAATCAATCAGTAATGACCTCGAGCAAGTGCAGTAACTAGACTGAGAGAGTGATAATGACCCTGAAGGAAGAAGCAGACACCTGATGTAGACCAGACTGTGGAACAGGGACTTTAAAGTCAGACAGTCCTGATTTCAAGTCCTCACTCTACCACTTACCAGTGTGTTAACTGAAGCAAGAAATTAACCTCTCTGAAACTCATAGACTTTGCTATGATGAGCAGATGAGCTAAATTAGATAATCCAAGTAGCCCGGTATTCCATACCCAACTGAAGTTCAACATATTGCATCCACTTTTTTTTTCTTAACATCTTTATTGGAGTATAATTGCTTTACAACCGTGTGTTAGTTTCTGCTTTATAACAAAGTGAATCAGCTATACGTATACGTATATCCCCATATCTCCTCCCTCTTGTGTCTCCCTCCCACCCTCCCTATCCCACCCCTCTAGGTGGTCACAAAGCACCGAGCTGATCTCCCTGTGCTATGTGGCTGCTTCCCACTAGCTATCTGTTTTACATTCGGTAGTGTATATATGTCCATGCCACTCTCTCACTTCGTCCCAGCTTACCCTTCCCCCTCCCCGTGTCGTCAAGTCCATTCTCTATGTCTGCGTCTTTATTCCTGTCCTGCCCCTAGGTTCTTCAGAACCTTTTTTTTTTTTTTTTTTTGAGATTCCATATATATGTGTTAGCATACGGTATTTGTTTTTCTCTTTCTGACTTACTTCACTCTGTATGACAGTCTTTAGGTCCATCCACCTCACTACAAATAACTCAATTTCATTTCTTTTTATGGCTGAGTAACATTCCATTGTATATATGTGCCACATCTTCTTTATCCATTCATCTGATGATGGACACTTAGGTTGCTTCCATGTCCTGGCTATTGTAAATAGAGCTGCAGTGAACATTGTGGTACATGACTCTTTTAGAATTATGGTTTTCTCAGGGTATATGCCCAGTAGTGGGATTGCTTGGTCGTATGGTAGTTCTATTCTTAGCTGCATCCACTTTTATCATCAGTATTACTCCTCCAGTATGTGGGTTCACTCAGTCCTTTGCTTTTGTCATAAAGAGTTTATGGAGCCTTTCAGGAATTATGTTATATCGTGTTTCTCAAACTCTTTTCAGCCCAGAGAGCCTGGTTTTTCAACTAGAAGTCTTTCTGGGAAAGACAAATAAGGAATAAATGTGTTGAATCAGAGGTGAGGAGGTCCCTCCTGCATCCTCACCCTGGGTGGACCTGAAAGTGTTCCATGGAACCTGCAGACTCAGCAGAGTGTAACTTTTAAAAACACCAGGATGGCTGACCTGTGCAGAACCTACCCAACCTCCCTGCCAAGATTCTGGCGTCCAGAGAGGAGCAAACAGCTATGAACTTCCCTATATTCTATGCACCACAGAACTTACCTTCATACGCTTACCTAGATCTCCATGAATATGATACCACCAAGTCTTTTCAAAGTTAAATTTACATATTTTTATTCAAATAAATTAACATTCCAATCTGACTCAGTTCTTGGGAACACCAAATGCCAATGCCCGGGTGAATATATGTGTCCCGTCAAAACTGTAAAGTTGTGTTGTGTTTCTCACACCAAGAAATGTGATTTTCTTTCCTTTTTTTTTTTCTCCTCCTTTTTCTTAGTATCATTTGTTAATAGATCCCTGATACTCTGTGGCACAAGATGTGCTAGGGATTTCAACACTAGAGATACATGGAATAGGGCAGGGAAGAGGGGGAGGGGGTGGATTGTAATAAAGAATACATATCTCAATTTTTTAAAAACAAAAAGAAGGCCCTGAAATAAACCATACTTCAAAAACAAGCAGCTTGGATTTTGGAAGTGAAGTCATAATGCCCTAACAGAATTAATTTACTTCCCAAGGACAAGTAGTTGTTGATTTTTCCAGAGAGGCAACTTTTGCCCTAAGATTAAACCCAATGGGAACACGAGAGCTCAAAACTGAAGAAAGAGCCACTTAGGTCATCTAAGGGCCAGTGCCTTTTAGACATGGACAATTCTCTTCTGATTATTGAAACTAGATTTTCACTTAAGAAATACAAAAAATAAGTTATCAGGAACCAATCAAATTATCCTTTCTTCTTGTCAGTATGTATGGCCAACTTTATTGACAGGCTAGCCCTACACCTGTCATACATAATAAAAGTATGACATACATAATAAAAGTTGTGTATGTCAACTTTTATTATGACTTGAATTGGGTCACCCCAAAAGAGATGTGGGGAAGTCCCCTGGTGCCTCAGAATGTGACCTTATTTGGAAACAGAATCTTTACAGAGATAATCAAGTTAAAATGAGGTTTTGAGAATGGGCCCTAATCCAATATGACTGGTGTCCTTATTAAAAGAGGAAATTTGGAAAGAGAGACACACAAGTAGAAGGAAAATTATGTGAAGACACAGAGAGATCATGATCCATAAGCCAAGGAATACCTGAGGCTACAGAAGCTAGGTGAGAGGTGTGAAACAGATTCTCCCCTGCGGCACTCAGAAGACACCAATTCTAACACCTTAACTTTGGACTTCAAGCCTCCAGAACTGTGAGACAATAAATTTCTGTTGTTTAAGCCACCCAGGTAGTGGTACTTTGTCATGGCCATTCTAGGAAATTAGTACACTATAGAGGCTGGGAGAGCTGAAATCTCTATCTGTGTACTTTCCCAGATGCCCTTGTAGCCAGGGGTGACTATATAACATAATACTGGACAATTAAATGTCAAAAGAAGTCTACTTGAAGCTTCTGGGCAAACGTTTGGTTTAGGATATTGGAGGATTAAGAACAGAGCAGCATGATGAGATCAGAAGGGGGAGTGTGGGAGTTGCAGAAACATCTCAGGTCCTTTACGGCATCGGATTGCTTCCCCAAAGCTCCCACACCAGACTGGAAAAGCTCCAGTGGAGGATGTACAGCCTTGTGTGTGCTCTAAAGCACAGACGAGCTGTCTAGATACATTTTTGTAAGGTTGTACTAATTCGTCTATAATTAAGGAGACGACATGGAAATCACTCATGGTCCTGTCCTCTCTGTACAGATCAATTCTCAGCCAGGTGATTAGCCAGTTTGGAAACATCTAAAAGTTAAAAAACAAACCAAAAAAACTTGCCTCAAGATTCTAAACTAAAATCTGAAAATGTCACAGCTTCCTGTCATTGTGTAAGAAATCATTATTTCAAAAACACTTGTTACGAGTGTCCTGAAATTTCAGGCTGCAGAACATCGAAATACTCATTTAGAATTCCTGGGAACCCGACAGTAGAACATTCCTCTAAGAGAGTGGTTTTCAACTAGGGACAATTTCACCGCCCACCCCCCAGCCCCAGGGACATTTTGCAATGTCTAGAGACATCTTTGCTTGTCACAAACTGGGGAGAAGAGGAGGTACTATCGGTATCTAGTGGGTAGAAGCTGGAGATGCTGCTAAACATCCTACAATACACAGAACGGCCTTTACAACAAAGGATCATCCAGCTCAGAAAATGTCAATAGCTGAGATACCCTGCTCTAAGATATAGTAAAGCATTTAAAAAGAAAATTAGATTTTGTTATAATCAGAAAAGCATGGAACAAGTAGAAATGACTTACTGAAAAAGTGTGGGTGGTGTCCGGAGTTCTACCCCGAACTGCAAATAGAGGAGAGTGAAAATGAATAGCGAAGAGGTAAACAAGAAAAGCAATGTTCGGTAAGTAGGAGTCACGGTGAAGGGGAGAATTTGCCAGGCCCTGAGCACAAGGGTATTACTCAAGAGTGGACTGTGTGTTTATCCACGGCAGCTGGCAGGGCGTTGCAGCCTCCTCAACAAACAGATTCATCAAACTGCAAAGCTCCCATTCTTCAGAAACATTTCTAAGACAATATATGGAATCCATTTTCTGATTTTACTTGAAGATGAGTCACACAAGGTGCCAGCTATATGCTTGATTTCAGGCTTCTAAATAGTGAGAGCAGCCACTGAAAAAAATTACAGGGTAGGAAAGGCGGACAAAGGCACTAAAAACACTGAATCATTCTCATTTTTATGAGGAGAGGGAGAAGGCATATCCAGCTTAACCAATTTACATCATTTTGCTTTAGAAAATAAACATATACTTCATGCTGACAACTTTATGCCATGTTTCACATGCTGGAATTAAAATAGTTTTAGGAAAACATTTGGGAAAATAGAAGAGGGAAGCAATAAAATGAAATGGCAAAGATCCATTAGCTATTGAAGTACGTCTATTACTATTCAAGGTAAGTCACTTGAAGTTTTTCCCAGTCCTGTAAATAATTCCCTTCCCCAATCCAGGACCTATATGTGTACTGCATCACAAGATAAACTGAGTCACTCTCAGAGACCCACACATGTTACAGGGGTGAACATTTTATATCCACAGAGAATCCTACACTTGAACAAAGGAGTCACTAGGGCTGCTCCTGGAGTACATGTGAATTTTGCAGTTTTAAAGGGAATTAAAAATGTTTTATCGGGACTTCCCTGGTGGCGCAGTGGTTAAGAATCCGCCTGCCAATGCAGGGGACACAGGTTCAACCCCTGGTCCAGGAAGATCCCACATGCCACGGAGAAACTAAGCCCGTGCACCACAACTACTGAAGCCCACGCGCTCTAGGGTCCACGAGCCACTATCACTGAGCCCACGTGCTGCAAATACTGAAGCCTGTGCACCTTGAGCCCGTGCTCCGCAACAAGAGAAGCCACTGCAATGAGAAGCCCGCGCACCACAACGAAGACCCAACGCAGCCAAAAATAAATAAATAAATAAATTTATTTTTTAAAAGTTTCATCACTAAAGGAAATTTACAAATGCAACCCCGAACTTTGAGTTAGTGATCACTTTGAGTTTTTTAGGATCATTAAAAGGAGGAAAAGTGCATTTTCTCCTTTCAAGCAAAAAAATGAACTCAATAGAAGAAACAGTTCCTAATGGAATTATACATAGAATTTGGATATTATTTACCTTAAAACCTCATTAATTAGGACTTCAATAATCTGGATTTGAGGATAGTTTAAACAGAGTGTGGGCTGAAATTAACTCAGCTAAGCAAAGCTTTATAGAAAATGAGACTTGTTAATAATATAAATAAGGTAACAAAATTAAGCAAGCTTCAATCATATGTGTGATTTCAACCATTTTTAAATCCACTTGTTAAATAGGTCCCCTGAAAGACTGTTCCAGGTACCAACACATCAGGAAAAGGAGGCGAGAAGGGGAGGAGGGGCCAGGGCAGCAATAGTTAATGTTTAGTGTTGCTATTTGCCGGACAGTGTGTTAAGGACTTCCTAACAATTTTTTTTCATTTAATGCTTACAACAAACAACAACCTGAAGAGGCAGATACAGTTGCAGGTCCAGGAACTCTTATCTACAATTGCAAAATCCAAAAGGATCTGAAAGCTGACGGTTTTTTTCCAAAAGTTATTTGCTAGCAAAGCTTGACCTAACAGGATTTGGCAACAAAGCCTGACCTGAAGTGACCGAGGCTATGCACAGTCTTGGTGGGTCCCACGCAGCAGAGCTGCTCACAGCTTTTGCCACAGAAGATGAATGTGGTGAGTATGGGGTGCCGTCCCAGACGCCACTGAGGAGGAATGTGGAAGGGTGCTTTCTCCATTACCTTTCTGGGGACAATTTTACCTTCCTAAACACTGAAAAATTCTGAATTCAAAACCACAGCAGGCTCCAAGGGTTTCAGACAAGGGGTGTGGACCCTGGGCTGTTCCTGTACAGCAGGCCAGGAAGCAAAATCTCAGAGGCTGTCCTCTCAGGAACCTGCCCAAGGTCACATCTGGAGCAAGTGAGTGTTCAGTAGAGACCAAGATTCAGCCCGGGTAGCTCTGAGTCCAGAACCCACATGGTAGTATGCGGTCAGGCTTCGGGACTATAATATATAATTGAAAGTAGTACAACCACATTTAAATGCTACTTTTAACTAACTCAGACAACCCACTCACTTACTGAGTATGCTGAATGAAGGAGCTGAATGAAGGAGCTGACTGTCCTTAAGAAGCCGGTACGCAGCCATCACCCACTCACCCGTTTCCCGCTCTCTTCCCGGCTGCCCATTTCTCGAATCCTCTCCAGAATGGCATCCTCCGTGGGCCTAAGCGTGCCCGAGCTGCTCCTCAGGAGGGCTGCAATTTTCTCCCTAAATGAGGAGTACTCGCTCTGCGAGGCTGTGGCTGCATCCACACTGGCCTTCAAACTCTTCTCCAACTCCAGAGAGCTTCTCTTCAAGAGGCTCAGCTCCTGCTTTGAGGCATCCCAGACCCGCTGGCCAGCAAGCAGCCTTTCTTGGAGGATCTTAACTTCCCTTTCAAGAGCTTCTTTCTCCTCTACAGCACTGAGCAAGTCCTAAAATAATTTTGGAAAGTGAGGACAGTAGCATTATCAGCTAAGGAGGGGAACCTGCATTTGCTTCTCATTTACCTTGCTTGCTAATAAGTTCAAGGAGTTAGGGTTAAATGCTCATTCCATTTTTAATTTTAGGTGCCCTATCCTCTCTTCATAAAGTTTGTTCAATTGTAAAGCTATGTTAGGTAAATTTAGATGTCTGAAAAACAGAAGGGATATAAAATCAGGGCTAGAAAAAAAAAGAAGGAAGATGACATATAAGCCTTTTCTATGTGGACCTCTGGAAAGAGTTAATAAAAACAAATCATTGGCTAACATACTACTAGATTCGATCCATATATAGAATATGTTTACAGGCCTATGTGTTCTTAAGTTTGGTATAAATGGAAATTGATGTTGAGTAAACAGTAAACCCTCAGAGTCCTAATAAGTCACTAAAAGTTATTTGAATGAAGATGTCTCCCCTTAAAACTATTTTAAATAACAGGTAGAATTATCATAAAAAATCATTGTATAAAGAAGAGTAGGGCTTCCCTGGTGGCGCAGTGGTTGAGAGTCCGCCTGCCGATGCAGGGGACACGGGTTCGTGCCCCGGTCCGGGAAGATCCCACATGCCGCGGAGCGGCTGTGCCCGTGAGCCAGGCCGCTGGGCCTGCGCGTCCGGAGCCTGTGCTCCGCAACGGGAGAGGCCACAACAGTGAGAGGCCCGCATACCGCAAAAAAAAAAAAGGAGAGTAAAATCTTTCTTTCAATATTCATTGACTGTGTATCCCCCTGTCTCATAAAAATAAAACCAATACTGATAGGACCTGAAGAAAGGAAATAGAAAGGAGTAGCCATTTGGTGGGTGGGAGGATTAAAAGTTAGAGGGAGATACAGTACCATACTGAGAAGAATACTTTCAAAGAATATGATATGTATGATTAGGTTTGTAAAAATAAAGGGCATTGAGAAAGTTACCAGTACACCTACTTCTATTTACTATATGTAGAATGGTCCAAAGAGGCATAAAAAGGATATCTTTAAAATTCATTTAAAAAAAAACAAAACAAAACACTTGTGGACATCAAGTTCCCAATTAAGTGAATTCACATCGAATAAGATTAAGCAGTCGGTTAGCCAGCACTGCTATAATACTGTAGTCTAGGTAAATGGCAAACATATTTTTGGTTTTTATTTAAAATAGTATGTTAGGGACAAAAATAATTAAAAAGAAACCATATCGTCAAATAACAGATTCTACGTCTAAACTGGCCAGTTGACATTTCAGGCTGCTAGTTAAAATGCAATCATCCCTTTTGCATTAGAGCTTGAAGACAGGAAGAATGTTACTTGAAATGCTACCTCCTACTTTTTATTTAAAAAAAAAGAAAGAGAATATCTTCCTTTTTTTCCTGGTGATTTGTTTTTAAATCAAGGAAGTCTTGGGCATCAATTTGAATGAAAAGTCATCCAGTGGATGTAGGTAGTTAGAGAAAGCTGCCCCTTTCAGAGATGTAATAACTAAACTAATTATAGAAACCAGTCTGTGAAATGCTTTGCTTCTCCAGGTCCTGGCACCAGCTCCATTTCCCCACTGCCTTTCCAAACCAGTCGTCTGTGCAGAGAAGTCCCATTATTACTGCTAATTAAATTATGTACACTTTATCACAAATACAATATTTTAACACTTTACAGATTTCTTTTCAGATAGTAATACAGTAGCTGCTCAATTAGAGTAACTAGTATCAGCATTGGCGATAGTAAGTTGGGCCCATGTATTACTCAGAAACTACCATCTAATGTGTGGTTAGAAAACTGAGGTCCTAAATTCGATGATGCAGGGATGAAAATTAATCCTAATCCCCTCAGAGTTCTAAAACTCGATAGGAAATTACATATTAACTTTTACATTGAAAGAAAGTCCCTAATGCAAAAGAGGGGAGTTTCCATGACCAATGGAGAGATATTTTTAACCAGGAATTTACAAAAGATCCTAAAAATACACAAAAAATATATCAGACACTTGAGTACTATAGACTTACTGTCAGTTTGGAATAAACTAATCAATCAGCAGCTTACAGCAGGAGACCAATAAACACCATTAAAATATTTCAGCTATGAGGCATTTTTTCCACCCCAATATCAAACTGTTTTCTCACTGCCTTAGAGACCAGGGTCAAAACAGTCTTCTTTAACAAATCCAAAGCACCAATGCTTATGTCTAATAAAAATCAGAAAATTCTTTTGTGGTCATAGAATATAGTGGCACATGGCAGCAGGTCAGATTTTTTTTTTTCTGGACACATTTCAGCCCACAGAACTATATGCTGTTTCTCGTATGAAATGCAGACTCGGGAGCCAGCGACAAGGCCTTGGGGACCTGCTCCCCCAGTGCTCTGATTAAGCGCTTCACAATTCAGAGGCACGCGGCCGATCTGCTGGAAACAGATGTCCTCAGACTAAAAATGCAATTACTTGTAGAGCTATCGGGAGACAGCGGCTAGAGTAGAGTCTGGTTGCATGGCTACCTCAAGGATACACTGAAGTAATGTGACATTGGTGTCGCCGGCCAGGACCTCGGGACTGCTGTCAGAGCACACTGACACACAGAACAAGAAACAAGTAGCTCCCTCAGAGCAAAATCAGGGCTGACCTCCACAGAAGAAATCGCACTGGCAAATGAGCACAGACCCTATCAAGACAGTGACAGGGATCACTTTAAAAAATTTTTAAATTAAATCTTTAGATTCAGTGCTACTAATGCAACAAAGTATAATGACCCCTTCACAATTACTTTTAACAAAAACATTTGTAAATAATAGGATCAAGGTGTTCAATTTAACTTCCCAATTAAATGCAGTAAGTAACGAAATCATTCAAAGGTTTGTGTTTTTAAAACACAATTGATTCCTATTACAATGTTGCTAACCATCCTATGGATTTGGATATGCCTGAGATCAAACTGCCTCTCAAAACTAAAATGACTAATTATCATCAGGGTAGAAAACCTCTGGCTTGAGCTTAATTCATCCAACCCTAGACAAATTTCGTAAAATTAAAAATTCGTTGGTTATTTCTACCTACTGCAGTTAACATCAACAAATAAACTCAGAAATTCCCCCAAACATGTCCTCTCATACATTGCTGGTGGAAGTGTGAATAGGCATAATTTTGATATAAATATCTAAAACATGTAATATGCACAATATCCTTTGGCCCTGTAATTCCATGATATATTAGAGTGGAAGCTGCAGAGTAACATTTTACTTCAAAATGAGGAGGACCTTTCCCAAATCTGAGCTGTCCCAGTGGCATAATCAACCTTGGAAAATAATAAGAATTCAACTTAAATTTGAAATTCCCATTATTGACAAACCCGATACAAGTTAACAATAAATTTAACTGTCCATGAGGCCAGTGTGTTCCTGGGCTTCACTTCAGTACTGCAAAACGCTCTGCCCTGAACTGGTCAGACTGTGCCTGGAGGACCATGGACAGTTCCCAGCTGAAATTTTAAGAGGGACATTGTCAAAATGGAATGAGTTCTGCATCACATGCTAGGATTAGACCCATAACAAAAAAATTTATGCAATCATGTTATTTTAAATTCTGTTTTAATTTACTTTAAATGTGTTGAATGAACCTAAAGACAAAGCATTGAAAACTTAATTATAGTTACAGAACAGAATGAAAATATTACAAACCTTGACAAGGTAAATACAATAATAAAATAAAAACTGGAATGCAGAACGATGGGAGTAAAAAGTAGGAGGCATTAAATTCATCATATATCATAGCAGAACATCTAAAAATACTATATCAGGTTGTTGAATCAGGAACAGAAATGTATTGTTTTAAAGTCTTAATGGTAATATCAGAGGTTCAAACAAGAGTTTGAGGCTAGAAGTGGAAGGAGAGATGATTTTTAATTTCACTTTGGAGCCTTATGAACATTTTTAATCTTTTATAATATGAGCAGATATTAGTTTAGTGTTTATTTTCATTTTAATTACTCACCATTTTAGAATGGTGAGCTCCTCTAGCTTATGAGCGCCAGGACCCAGACCTACCCACCATCCTGTTGGCACCAGTACTGGGATGCCTCAGGCCAAGTAGCTAGGTGGGAAGGGATACAGCACCACTAGTAGGCTGGCTGGCTGCCTTAGAACCCCATAATCCACTAGCCCACCCACCAGAATGCCCAGGACCAGGCCCCACCCACCTGTGCACCTGCACTAGCCCTGGAACCCCCAAGACCTGCAGCCAGCTGACATTACTTGGCCACAGCCACTAGGAGGCCAACACCAGCTCTGAGATACCTTGGGCCCCTCAGCCAGCCACCCCAGGAACCAACCCCACCCACAAGCAGGCAGACAACAGACCCAGGACCACTGCAACCCAGGAACCTGCCATGTCAGGACCCAGCCCACACACGAAGGAGCCAACACCAGCTCTGGGACACCCTGGGCCACTCAGCCAGCACCAGTCCCTAGAAACATACAATCTTCCAAGACTGAATCAGGAAGAAATAGAAAATATGAACAGACCAAACATCAGTAATAAAATTGAATCAGTAATTTTAAAACTTCCAACAAACAAAATTCCAGGATCAGATGGCTTCATAGGTGAATTCTACCAAACATTTAGAGAAGAGTTAACACCTATCCTTCTTGAATTGTTTCAAAAAATTGCAAAGGAAGGAACACTTCCAAACTCATTCCACAAGGCCATGTATTATCCTGATACCAAAACCAGACAAAGAATCACTAAAAAGAAAATTACAGGCTAATACCACCGATAAACATAGATGCAAAAATCGTCAACAATAAATTAGCAAATCAATTTTAACAATACATTAAAAGGATCATACCCATGATCAAGAGGGATTTATCCCAGGGATGCAAGGATGTTTCAACATCTCCAAATCCATCAGTGTTATATACTACATTAATATATTGAAAAATAAAAATCATATGATCATCTCAATAGATGCAGAAAAAGATTTTGACAGAATTCAA